TGATAAGATCTCTATCTTGTTACCTCACTTGTCCAAGTATCCAAAAAAATGATGTAAAGAGAAGCAATATGATTTCCAACAATAAGGAAGAAGATTAACAAGAATTTTATATGACTTCAATAAAGGTTAAAATAAAACTAAACCAAATAGTTTGGATATAGCATTCTTTCTCATTTGATTGTGGGTAAATGATTGTTTTTTAGAATTACAATCTTTAAAAAAATTTCATAAATTGTTTGATTTCACAGAAAACGATCATACAAAATATAGTAGTTAAAAAAGAGCTAAATTACATATACCAGAAAGTGGGAGATGGGGCTAGCCATTTGACTAGGAGAGTAATGGATTTAATTAAGCTTTGCAAAACAATTTGATATTTCAACCCTTTTGCAAGAGCTAGTCCTTTTTGATAATCTTCATAACAGCCCTTAATTTCTAGTTTGATTATTATAGAACAATACTGATTTATGTATTACAGGCAAATCAAAGTAAAGATAGTTGTCCCCTGACTCTTCTGTTTAATGCAAGGTTGACTCAAATTTTTTACCGGTGAAGGTCTGTTTGAGAACCTGAAACATGAATTATATTGTAGATATAACTTTTAATATTTTTTGATACTCTTGTTACAAATTTCTGGCATGGATTCAATTGGTCACTTATTAAAACAAATACTTTCGAGGGAAAAAGTATCAAAAATTTATCTTTGCCGCCCAGGTTTTGGAGGATTCTACTTTATTATATATAAAATCAAAAAAAAACATCTCATGTTGGATTCCAATGTGTATACCACTGCCTATTTTAGCGAACAAGCTGGTATTTATGAACAGTAGGTCAAGTTCATTAAACTTGAAAGTGGAGCATGTTGCCTTGGTTTTGAACCCACCACTTCACAATAGTTCAATTGAACTAAATAACTTATCTCACTGTTTATGCATTGTTTTCTCACATAACTTGAAAAGGGTTTAATAATTTTATTTTGGTTATGGTGTCCTTTATATTTGTTTCTTTATTTTATTGTATTATCTTTTGAGTGTGTGAGAGAGACCTAATATATTAATATTATTATTCACCTTGTCTTGGTAATGAAAAAAATCAAAATTGTAGATGGTAGCTTTTCACCTATTGCAAGGAAAGGCCTAATAAAGATTTATGAGAATAAAGATCTTAAATTCGTTCTCCATATTCCTAGACTTACCTATAATCTTTTTTCCATGAGTAAATTGTCCAAAGATTCTAACTGTCGTTTTATTTTCTCTAATTCTCATTGTGAATTTCAGGCCCAAAGCTGGGGATGATGATTGGCAGTGCTAGGATGATAGATGGTCTTTACTACATTGGTGACAACTCCTTCAATAATAAAAAAGCTCGAGGTTTTAGTAGTATGAGTTCAATTTTTGCTCGTGAACAAATAATACTTTGGCATCTTAGACTAGGACATCCTAGTTTCCCTATCTTAGACATTTATTTCCTAATTTGTTTAAAAATTTCGATTGTTCATCTTTTCAATGTGAAAGTTTTCATTTATCAAAAAGCCATCATCCTACTTATTCCTCAAAACCCTATTGTGCTTCAAAACCATTTTATTTAATTCATAGTGACGTATGGGGCCCTTCTAAGATCACTATTGTGTTTAGAAAAAAAATGGTTTGTAACCTTTATAGATTATCATACCAGATTATGTTGGGTTTATTTGATTAACAAAAATTTGAAGTGGATAAATTGTTCAAAGAGTTTTACAAAATGGTCGAAAACCAATTTCAAACAAAAATAATTATTTTTCACTCTGATAATGGAACATAGTAATTTAATGAGTATCTGGGGAATTTTTTAAAAGAAAAGGGGATTCAACATCAATCTACATGTCGTGACACCCCTTAACAAAATGGGATTGTGGAAAGAAAAAAACAAACATTTTCTTGAAGCGGCTCGTGCCATAATGTTTTCCATGACTATTCCAAAGTATTTATGGGGTGAGGCCGTTTTAACGGCCTCCTACTTGATCAATAGGATGCCTACCCGAGTTTTGAAATTTATCATACCCTTAGATTGCCTCAAAAAAAACTTTTCTTGAAACAAGAATACAATCTGATTTGCCAATAAAAGTTTTTGGTTGCATAGTGTCTGTTTACATACCTAGCAAATTCTGATCCAAACTTGATCCTGGAGCTGAAAAATGTGTTTCGTCAGTTATGCTCCAAATAAAAAAGGATACAAGTGTTATACCCTTAAACCAGGAAAATCCATGTTAGTATGGATGTTTCTTTTTTTGAAAAACCAACCTTACTTTGACCAAAATTATCTTCAGGGGGAGGAAAAGAAAAAAGGAGACAATTTCTAGGACATGCATGTTTCGTTACCTAACACAATTCTGAACAATCATGTTCTTTCTACAACACAACCCTAGAAAAAAAAATTGTTCAAGATACTAGTCAACCATTGCCAAGTATTAATGTATCACCAATAGGGGGAGATATACTACAAAAGGACCAAGATGACCTGAATACTGAGCTTCAGGTTTGTATTAGAAAGAGGACTCATACGAAGGGTAATGACCTCTCTATTAGCCCAACACAAGAGCAACCAAAATCTAAGAGAGATGGTCCTGAGAACATTCCAGTTATTCCTGTTCCTATTCTTGCTTCTATTAAACCTTCGAATAATGAGCCCATAGACCTTGATATTCCTATTGTTATTACGAAAGGAGTCCGTTCATGCACTAGTCATCCTATTGCCAAATATTTATCTTACTAGAAACTTTCTAATAACCATAGAGCTTTTACCTCTAAGATGTCTCACTTGTTTGTTCCAAGGAATATTCAAGAAGCTCTAGATGATCCAAATTGGAAGTTAATCGTTATGGAATAAATGAATGCTCTCAGAAAGAATGACGCTCTGGAGGTAGTTGACTTGCCAAGGGATAAAAAGACAGTAGGATGCAAATGGATGTTTACAATTAAGTGTAAAGCTGATGGAAACATAGAAAGGTACAAGACAAGACTTGTGGCTAAAGGGTTCACTTAGACATACGGGATTGACTATCAGGAAATATTTGCTCCAGTAGCCAAAATAAGCTCAATCTGGGTTTTATTATCTTCAGTGATGAATTCCAATTGGTCGTTACATCGGTTGGATGTAAAAAATGTTTTTCTAGATAGACTTGGAAGAGGACGTTTTTATGAACCTACCACCTCGATTTAAGGAAAGTTTAGTAAAGATAAAGTTTGTAGATTGAAGAAGTCATTATAAGGGTTCAAACAATCCCCTAGAGCATGGTTTGAACGCTTTGGGAAGATTGTAAGAAGTTATGGTTACTATCAAAGTCAAGCAAATCATACTATGTTTAATAAACATTTAAGAGAAGGTAAAATTGATATCTTGATTGTATACGTAGATGATATAATCTTGACAGGTGATGGCAATGTTGAGCTGGAACGACTTAAAATGAAACTTGCTAATGATTTTGAAATCAAGGACTTGGGTACATTCAAATATTTCCTTGGGATGGAGTTTGCTATGTCTAAGGAAGGAATATTTGTTAATCAATGCAAGTATGTACTTGACTTACTTGTTGAAACAAGTTTGCTTGGAAGCAAAGCAGCTAAAACACCAATTGAAACCAACATGAAACTATAATGTGCCAAAACTGAAGAACTGGTGAATCGGGGGCAGTAATAAAGACTTGTTGGAAGACTGATTTATTTGGCCCATACACGTCTAGATATAGCATGGTTATTTAATTTATGCATTCACCTGGTCCGGAACACTTTGATGCTGTGTATAGAATCTTGAGATACTTGAAAGGGTCTGCTGGAAAAGGGTCTGTTGTTCAAGAAACGTGGACATCTACATATTGAAGTCTACACTGATGTAGATTGGGCCGGGAGTATAACTGATAAAAGACCAACTTCCGATTACTGCACCTTTGTTGGAGAAACCTAGTTACTTGGCAAAGCACAAAACAAAATATTATGGCTAGGAGTAGTGCAGAAGCGGAATTCAGATCAATTGCTCAAGGGATTTGTGAAGGGGTGTGGATTAAAAGACTTTTAGAAGACTTGACGATTCCTTACTCCTCACCCATGAAGGTATACTGCGACAATAACGCAACAATCTCAATTGCTCATAATCCAGTTCTTTATGATAGAACGAAGCATGCGGAAGTGGATAAACACTTTATCAAAGAAAAGATCGATAATGGAATGATTTGCATGCCATATGTTCCAACCACCAAACAAATTGCTGATATACTTACAAAGGGATTTCAAAAGCAACAATTTGACTACTTTACTAGCAAGCTGGCAATGGATGATATTTTCAAGCTAGCTTGAGGGGGAGTGTTGGATAATAGAAGATTTGTTTATTTAAATAAGGCTAATTAGTTTATGTAAATTAGGCTAATTATTTCTTGTAATTAAAATATTTAGTTGCTGTAAAATAGGTTAATTATTTCCAATAAGTAGGCAAATTAGTTCCTGATTTTACGCTGACATGTATAGCTTACTGATGAAGAGAAGAAATATACAAATTTCCTCCTAAAAAATACTCCTCTTTACTGGCTTTTATTATTTAAAACATGAACTATAAAATAAAAAATCAAGTAATATTAAAAATTAATAAAAAATTATAATACTACTAAAACAATAAATTAAATTTCTAATTAATACTACTAAAACATAAATTATAAAATCAAAAATCAAAACAATAATTTTTATACTTACACTTTTATTAAATTATAACCCAGCAATAAATTAATTTAATCCTATTATTATAAACATATGCATTACTGTAATTATAAAAAATTAACATTTAAATTAAATATGATAACAAAAATTTTATCATTGGGAATATAAGAACCGTTAATCGCTATAAATCAATTTTCAGAAATATTGCTAAATGCCATGGAATTAAGCAAATACTAACTGATGGCCGCTCTCTCTCTCTCTCTCTCTCTCTCTCTCTCTCTCTTAATATCTATTTTAGTAGCGTTATAAGGAATCGGAATCAAAACACCGGAGTGAAACTCAGAATTCACAATCAAACTTCCCTGGGTAATAAGTGAAATAGAAAATTAGATAACAATACAACTCTTTTTTTGTCCTTGAGATCACCAACATACTCTACTACAACTTAGATGTTTACATAACCAGGTGCTGCGAAAAATTGGAATCGGTGCAACATATTTAACGGCCACCACGAGCACGTCCGCGACCACGTCCACGGCCCCGACCACGTCCCCCAACAGGCCTCCCTGGAGTTTGATGAGGATTAGAATGATTAATATCCTTCGTATTCATGAGACAAAATCCTAAACTGGATACAATTTAATAACATAAACATGGTTTAATAAGAGAAATGATCATACCGGCAGTTGGCTTCTTGGGCTTGACCCTAGGCGTCTCTTCAACCAGCAATGTTTCAAGATTCAAACTGTCAGGAAGAATATAATAACGAATGTTGTTACCCCTCACACTAAGGTGGTCCAAAGTTACTGGATTTTTCCCCTTCAGCGTAAGTTTCACTGTTTTCAAATGTGTGTTCATACTGATATCCACACCTATAATAAACCAGCAAATTGAACTGTCAAAATATTTGCATCTTCACAAATTTGTAAAACCTAAATAGTAATTCAATTAGGAATAATATACACTGCTAGGGTTACTTCGATTATTATATCAACCTGAATACTAAGCTGAGGTAACATCAACACAGCATGCCTTGGAGAAATACGAAGAAAATTCAGATGATAATAATATACTATAATGAAATAAAACAATCACTCTCATGACAAGCAAAAATACCACCCAATAGCACCACAACACCATTGCCACGCCCCCACCCCAGATAGAAAGAAAAATGGCACATTAACCAAAATGGTTGGAGCATGTTGTTGATAAATGGCGTTGGAGTAAGATAAGCAAAGTGCAAGAAAGTCTGTGGGTGTTCCTATGCAACTGGGGGCATCCATGTGTACGCAACAGCAGATGTGACATGGGAGAAACCGACAGAAAGACAGACAGGGAGAGGAGCCAGCCCTTAGAAAAACGCTAACTGTGTACAATTTTCTACAGGGCAGGAACAATTGGAAAACAGGTTCCCCCAGTAATACAGAACCTATTGAGTGAGCTCAACAAACAAAAACACGAAAATCTCAGGATTGGAATGTTTATGCTTTAAAGGTCATTATTACTTTAAACCTTGATTCATCAGCTAAAGAAACCATCAGGAATTCATGACTCTGATGGAGGTCAATCTTACAACGAGTTTCTTCCACATGTGAATCAAGGGTTGCCCCATCATTCAACCCACAAACAAAGGAAAATAACCATAAACTCTCANACTTTACTAGCAAGCTGGCAATGGATGATATTTTCAAGCTAGCTTGAGGGGGAGTGTTGGATAATAGAAGATTTGTTTATTTAAATAAGGCTAATTAGTTTATGTAAATTAGGCTAATTATTTCTTGTAATTAAAATATTTAGTTGCTGTAAAATAGGTTAATTATTTCCAATAAGTAGGCAAATTAGTTCCTGATTTTACGCTGACATGTATAGCTTTCTGATGAAGAGAAGAAATATACAAATTTCCTCCTAAAAAATACTCCTCTTTACTGGCTTTTATTATTTAAAACATGAACTATAAAATAAAAAATCAAGTAATATTAAAAATTAATAAAAAATTATAATACTACTAAAACAATAAATTAAATTTCTAATTAATACTACTAAAACATAAATTATAAAATCAAAAATCAAAACAATAATTTTTATACTTACACTTTTATTAAATTATAACCCAGCAATAAATTAATTTAATCCTATTATTATAAACATATGCATTACTGTAATTATAAAAAATTAACATTTAAATTAAATATGATAACAAAAATTTTATCATTGGGAATATAAGAACCGTTAATCGCTATAAATCAATTTTCAGAAATATTGCTAAATGCCATGGAATTAAGCAAATACTAACTGATGGCCGCTCTCTCTCTCTCTCTCTCTCTCTCTCTCTCTCTCTTAATATCTATTTTAGTAGCGTTATAAGGAATCGGAATCAAAACACCGGAGTGAAACTCAGAATTCACAATCAAACTTCCCTGGGTAATAAGTGAAATAGAAAATTAGATAACAATACAACTCTTTTTTTGTCCTTGAGATCACCAACATACTCTACTACAACTTAGATGTTTACATAACCAGGTGCTGCGAAAAATTGGAATCGGTGCAACATATTTAACGGCCACCACGAGCACGTCCGCGACCACGTCCACGGCCCCGACCACGTCCCCCAACAGGCCTCCCTGGAGTTTGATGAGGATTAGAATGATTAATATCCTTCGTATTCATGAGACAAAATCCTAAACTGGATACAATTTAATAACATAAACATGGTTTAATAAGAGAAATGATCATACCGGCAGTTGGCTTCTTGGGCTTGACCCTAGGCGTCTCTTCAACCAGCAATGTTTCAAGATTCAAACTGTCAGGAAGAATATAATAACGAATGTTGTTACCCCTCACACTAAGGTGGTCCAAAGTTACTGGATTTTTCCCCTTCAGCGTAAGTTTCACTGTTTTCAAATGTGTGTTCATACTGATATCCACACCTATAATAAACCAGCAAATTGAACTGTCAAAATATTTGCATCTTCACAAATTTGTAAAACCTAAATAGTAATTCAATTAGGAATAATATACACTGCTAGGGTTACTTCGATTATTATATCAACCTGAATACTAAGCTGAGGTAACATCAACACAGCATGCCTTGGAGAAATACGAAGAAAATTCAGATGATAATAATATACTATAATGAAATAAAACAATCACTCTCATGACAAGCAAAAATACCACCCAATAGCACCACAACACCATTGCCACGCCCCCACCCCAGATAGAAAGAAAAATGGCACATTAACCAAAATGGTTGGAGCATGTTGTTGATAAATGGCGTTGGAGTAAGATAAGCAAAGTGCAAGAAAGTCTGTGGGTGTTCCTATGCAACTGGGGGCATCCATGTGTACGCAACAGCAGATGTGACATGGGAGAAACCGACAGAAAGACAGACAGGGAGAGGAGCCAGCCCTTAGAAAAACGCTAACTGTGTACAATTTTCTACAGGGCAGGAACAATTGGAAAACAGGTTCCCCCAGTAATACAGAACCTATTGAGTGAGCTCAACAAACAAAAACACGAAAATCTCAGGATTGGAATGTTTATGCTTTAAAGGTCATTATTACTTTAAACCTTGATTCATCAGCTAAAGAAACCATCAGGAATTCATGACTCTGATGGAGGTCAATCTTACAACGAGTTTCTTCCACATGTGAATCAAGGGTTGCCCCATCATTCAACCCACAAACAAAGGAAAATAACCATAAACTCTCAAGACAATGTGTTAAGGCATAAAACCCCAGATTTCCTACAACCAGTCCTAACTTTAGATAAACAAAAGAAAAATCTTAAACTCTTTATAACAGAAAGGCAAAAAATCTATCATTCTAATCACACAAGAGCCAGATAAAGGTTATATTTATCCAAAGAGATATACACCTCTATTATGAAAACCTTAAAATGCACAAAACCATGCCCTAAGATGGGAAAGCCAATCCTAATCTATATAGGAAACTTAAAGAGCACAAATAGAGAGAAAAAGAATAACCATATCCTATAAAACTTATAAAAGATTCATAGATCAGTTAGTGCTTTCCAATATGTATGGCCAATGGTTTTGCATAGTAACAGCAAATGAAGTACATTCATCTCCAATAATCAGTAAATGTATGAAAAATCATGCATGCTGTTTGGAGAACAATCAAAACTCAAACTCCACCATCTTGTCATCATATTTTGGAGTCAATAAAATCTTATACTACCCAGCCCTGGTTTACAATGATGCAAGTAATGCTTATATGAGAACAATTAATAAGAAAAGAAATCAATGATGGGCAGTTGACCACCCATAGGCATTCTTAATAATAGTAAAATGAAAAATACAGTAAAGCATCCTCTGTCACATACCAAATCAAAACATAAACTATAACAAATTCGAAAAAAAAAAAAAAAAAATCTAACGAATAGGTCCCAATTCAATTTATTTTGGGTAACATATAAGATAAGAGTAAAAAATTTGATGAAACAATCATAACCCGACTAATATCCAGAACCAATTACTTTTCAAGCAAAACTATACACACAAGTTCTCAAAAAGGAATGATTACATGGTATCACTAATTGAATTGTCCATAATTTTTCTGCATCTCCTGACAAAACAATTATTTATTGTGGTTTCATAGCAGGATTCAAAGCTAAGAACCCATGCCAATCTCACACATAAAACTTTAGAAATTATTTATTGTCACAAAAAAACAAGGCATAACAACTGAATTTATATTACTACAAAATAAGCCAAAATCCTACCCAAATTATCTCTACATTTTCCTCAAACTAGAAACTATTCAGTCCCAACACCCCTCAGAAATTAAGCTCAACTAGAAAATTTAACCGAAAAAAATCATAAGAACGTCTACAGAAAAGAAAGGAACAATTAAACAAGATAAAACCCTAGGGTTTAACAAAACCCTAGATACATAAAACTTCTGAAAAGAAACGAAGCAAAAAGTGAAAGAGAAAGTAAGCAACCTGTGATGGTTCCGTGAACAATGGTTCCGTTCTTAAGCTCAATCGAAACGGTCTCATTGTTCAGCTTCATCAAAAACCTGAGAAATTTCACATAAAAAATGACAGACAACAAGATCAATAAACTAAAAAACACATAACTAGCAACACAAAGAGGAAGTTAAGTTGTCGTAACCGACCTGACGAGCTTCATTCTGGCTAAGTAAGACGGAAGCTAGGGCTTAGAAGCAAATGCGAAGACTACTACTCTAAGAAGCGGGAACCGCTGCACTCAATGATCTGATTTAGGGCTCGAGCGTGTAATGAGCTATTTTGACTTGGACGAAACGACGTCGTATTGAGAATAGAATATTTATTTGGATACCCGTTACTTTGGCATAAGACCAAAGTGGCACCAAAAATATAATTAATTAAAAAATTGTCTTGATTTACACAAATTATTTAGTGTAATATACTAACATTTGCATTTTTTTCAGTTAAAAAAACTCTAAATATATACCAAAGTTCTTAAGTGATAATATTCACCCCGTCAAGCACGTGGATTTTACCGAAGAGACTGGCTTTATAAATGTATTTTTTTTGTGGATATTTATACACAATTCAAGAGCTATAACTCAATAAAATCGGTCATTTTTTATTTAAATTAATCAATTGATGAATTACATGTCATCGGTCCTAGCCACCGGTTGGACCAATCGGACCACCCAACCCATGGACCGGCCTTTTGACCGGGTCAAAGTCAGTCCAGGGTATAAAAACATTGGTATCTACACATAGTTTAAGAGCTATAATTGAACAAAGTAGGTCTCCTTTCAATTAAATTAATGAATGGATGAAGCCACATGTCATTTCTCAATCTGTATATGTCTTAACTTTAGACATTTTGATAATCAATCGAATTTCATTTCTTAATTTATGTTTCAATTTAAACATTTTGAT